TAGGTAGGAGATGGGGGGGGGGCTTGAGGTGGGAGGAGGGGATAGGTGGGAGGTAGCACAGGTTAGGGAGGCGGGGACGAGCTGGGCTGGTTTTGGGATGCAGTCGGGGGAGGGGAGATTTTGAAGCTTGTGAAGTCTACATTGATACCATTGGGCTGCAGGGTTCCCAAGCTGAATATGAGTTGTTGTTCCTGCAACCTTCGGGTAGCATCATTGTGGCACTGCAGGAGACCCTTGCGAACTGAGCGTAGGTGTTCTGCAAAGCGGTCCCCAAGCCTCCGCTTGGTTTCTCCGATGTAGAGGAGGCCACAATGGGTACAGCGGATGCAGTATACTACATTGGCAGATGTGCAGGTGAACATCTGCTTGATGTGGAAAGACTTTTATTGCGAACCGAGCGTAGGTGTTCTGCAAAGCTCGCAATAAACAATTGCACCTCCCAGTCGCGAACCATTTCAACTCCCCCTCCCATTCCTCAGACAACATGTCCATCCTGGGCCTCCTGCAGTGCCACAACGATGCCACCCGAAGGTTGCAGGAACAGCAACTCATATTCCGCTTGGGGACCCTGCAGCCCAATGGTATCAATGTGGATTTCACAAGCTTCAAAATCTCCCCTCCCCCTACCGTGTCCCAAAACCAGCCCAGCTCGTCCCCGCCTCCCTAACCTGTTCTTCCTCCCACCTATCCCCTCCTCCCACCTCAAGCCGCACCCCCATCTCCTACCTACTAACGTCATCCCGCCCCCTTGACCTGTCTGTCCTCCCTGGACTGACCTATCTCCTCCCTACCTCCCCACCTACACTCACCTTTACTGGCTCCATCCCCGCCTCTTTGACCTGTCTGTTTCCTCTCCATCTATCTTCTCCTCTATCCATCTTCTATCCGCCTCCCCCTCTCTCCCTATTTATTTCAGAACCCCCTTCCCCTCCCCCATTTCTGAAGAAGGGTCTAGACCCGAAACGTCAGCCTTCCTGCTCCTCTGATGCTGCTTGGCCTGCCGTGTTCATCCAGCTCTACACCTTGTTATCTCAGATTCTCCAGCATCTGTAGTTCCTACTATCTCTGACTTCTTACACTGGCAAATTTCATTGATTTTATTTCTAATAGTGTTCACCTTTTGAAAGCACAGAACAAATTCTAATAGTTCAATAGATAGCACAGTAGTAAATCTTTCTTATCTGAGAAAAATCTGATTCAAACTGTTTGGAGGAGAATAGCACAACATGGTATTAATGAGTAAAAGCCCTAACTCGTGCTTCTGAAATTCTTGCCTGCTGTGTTAAAGGGTTTTTAATCTTAATACAAGGCTTATTTATGTGCATAAAAGAGCAGCCTGTGTCCTACGGAAACCATGTCAATTTCCACCTCTTCCATCCCCTGATTATTCCTTGCTGTTGAACGTCTCAATCACATTAACTTTAGATATGTCAATTCCAACAAATACATGGTCTGCCTCCCACATTCTACTCAAAACCCTGAAGAAGGGTCATTGGCCTTGGAATTCAGATTCAAAGTTCCTTGAAAGTGGAGTCCCAGGTAGATAGGACAGTGAAGAAGGCATTTAGTATGCTTGCCTTTATTGGTCAGTGCATTGTGTATAAGAGTTGGGAGGTCATGTACAGCCCATTGGTTAGGCCACTGTTGGAATACTGTGTGCAATTCTGGTCTCCCTGCTATAGGAAGAATGTTGTGAAACTTGAAAGGCTTCAGAAAAGATTTACAAGGATGTTGCCAGGGTTGGAGAGTTTGAGCTATAGGGAGGGGCTGAATATCTGGGGCTGTTTTCTCTGGAGCATTGGAGGCTGTGAGGTGACCTTATAGAAGTTTCTAAAGTCATGAGGAGCATGGAGAGGGTGAACAGTCAAGGTCTTTTCCCCAGGGTAGAGGAATCTAAAACTAGAGGGCATAGGTTTAAGGTGAGAGGAGAAAGATTTAAAAGGGATCTAAGGGGCAACGTTTTCACTCAGAGGCTGGTGTGTGTATGGAATGAGCTGCCAGAGGAAGTGGTGGAGGCTGGTACAATTACATTTAAAAGGCATCTGGATGGGTACAGGAATAAGAAGGGTTTAGAGGGACACGGACCAAATGCTGGAAAATGGGACTCGATTATTTTAGGATATCTGATCAGCATGGATGAATTGGACTAAAGGTCTGTTTCTGTGCTGTGCATGTCTGTGACCCAAAACATTAACTCTGTGTTCATTTCCCAGATGCTGCCAGACCTGCTGGGTTTTCCCAGCAATTTCTGCTTTTGTTTGTTTCAGGCCTCCAGCATCCACAGTCCTTTGTCTTATTTTACCCAAAGGTCTGCTGTGCATGTCCTAACTCTCACCAAGTCCCTTTTGTTGTGTTATGCCTCGCAGCAGGTGTGTGATATACCTTTAAAGGACATGCTCAGGATATCATCACCATATGATAGCATGTCACCTAATCATTGCCAAGTTCTCGGTCTCCATCATACTGAGCTCTCACCTTCTGAAGCATGACGTGCTGAGGGAAATGCACATCTGGATTGCATAGCTTGAGCCCAGACTCGGAAGTGGTTGTGATGGTAGTGTATGCATGTAAATACCAGGAGGTGAATTCTTCAATACTATGTGAGCCACATCTCCATTCCAGGAGCTACTTTAAGTATCACAGTGTGAGAAGATGGGGCAGGTCATCAGTATGTGTTGAAGCCTCACATCATCTTTCCACATTTTACTCATGTGCTTACCAGATTCATAGAGGTTTACAGCATGGAAGCAGGCCCTTCAGCCCAACTTGCCCATGCTGCTCAGTTTTCGCAATTAATCTTTTTATTTTATTCATTCATGGGATGACAGCATCTATTGCCCATCAGGGGGCAATTGCAGTTGAGAGTCAACCACATTGCTGTGGGTCTGGAGTCACATGTAGGCCAGACCAGGTAAGGATGACAGTTTCCTTCCCTAAAAGGCATTAGTGAACCAAATGGGTTTTTCCCAACAATCAGCAATGCATTTACATGTCCCTCTAAACCCTTCCTACTCCTATACCCATCCAGATGCCTTTTAAATGTTGTAATTGTACCACTTCCTCTGGCAGCTCATTCCATACACGCACCACCCTCTGTGTGAAAACGTTGCCCCTTAGATCCCTTTTAAATCTTTCTCCTCTCACCTTAAACCTATGCCCTCTAGTTTTAGATTCCTCTACCCTGGGGAAAAGACCTTGACTATTCACCCTCTCCATGCCCCTCATGACTTTAGAAACTTCTATCAGGTCACCTCACAGCCTCCAATGCTCCAGAGAAAACAGCCCCAGATATTCAGCCCCTCCCTATAGCTCAAACCCTCCAACCCTGGCAAAATCCTTGTAAATCTTTTCTGCATTAGACTCTTACTTCCAGATATTTATTGAATTCAAATTCCACCATCTGCCGTGGTGGGATTCAAACCCGGGTCCCCGGAACATTATCTGGCTCTCTGGATTAACAGTCTAGTGATAATACCACTAGGCCATTGCCTCCCCTAATCTAGTCTTATTTGCCTGTGCTTGGTCCATATGCCTCCATACCTATCCTATCCTTGTACCTGTCTAAATGTTTCTTAAATGACAAAATTGTACTTGCTTATACCACTACCTCTGGCAGCCCGTTCCAAACACTCACCCCCCTCCGTGTGAAGAAGTTGCCCCTCTTTTGTATCTCTCTCCCTCACCTTAAACCTAGGCCCTCTAGTTTTAGATTCCCCTACTAGTTCGCACCTGGCAAGGTTTTGATTTTTAAAATTCTCATCTTTGTTTCAAATCCCTCCGTGGCCCATCCATCCCCATCTCTGCCATCACCTGCAGCTGCACAAGATATCAATGCACTTTTCATTTTGGCTTTTTCAGCCTGAATTTTAATCACTCTAGCACTCTGGTGCTAAGTTCTGGAACACCATCCCTCACCCTCATCAAATCTCTTCCTTGCTTTCGTCCCTTAAGAAATGCTTTGAAACCTACCTTTGTCACCAAATCTTTGGCCATGACATGAGCCTAGTGTTTCCCAACATGGCTGTGTCTCCTCTTGCTTCATAATGTTCCTTGTGAAGATCCTTGGGACATTTATTTACATATAAGGGGCCATCTCAGTATAAGAACATAGAGCAGTACAGCCCTTCGGCCCATGATGTTGTGTGGACCTATTATCCTACTCTAAGATCAAACTACCCTGCATACCATATCATCCATATGCCTATCCAAGAGTCATTTAAATGTATAAGTTAGTCTTGTTGTTGGAACATGCTCCCCCACACTGCACCCAGTTTGTTCATCCTTCAGGGATAGGTGATTACTTAGTCTGTAACTGGGCGAGTAATCGCTCTTGCATATTATGTTAGTAATTTTTCTAGAACTTGGGTTGATGGTAGCGCTGGCAAAGCAGCCATTATTGCCCATTCCTTGTGGTCCTGAGGGGGTTAAGATTCAATTGTGATGTTTGGGCTGGAGTTACGTGTAGATCAGGGCTTCTCAAAGTGGGGGTCATGAGTGAAGATGTGGGGCCTGGGAGACTAATGGCTGTTAGGAGTTCCAAAGTGCACAGCGGCTTTGAATCCTCGTGTATTTTACAATCTGTGGGCACAGCCGAAATGCTGGGCCCCCACATGGGGATGATCAGTTGGCTTTAAATTCTTTTGCCAGATGAGGGGATCCTCTCCCATACCTTCCCTAGTCCCCACCCCCTCCTCTAACAGGGTGCATCCCCTCCCCCATCACTCTCACTGCTCTCAACTGGGGGGTAACACCACAGTTTGAGGCTGGAAACAGCAACCCGAGTGCAAAAATACTGCCTTGATGTAGATGCAAGGTTTCCTTATCATAGAGATTGTGAAAGAACCACCGACTGGTTTGTTTACAGCCTGGAAACTCTCGATGGTCATTGTCTGGTGTTGTGAGATGATCCAAATGTGGGGTGGTATCACCACGCTGACTCTGCGTTTTGGTTCCAGTAAACTCTGATGATCTTAATTCCAAACACATTCGCACACACACAGGTCTGGCAGTGTGGGGGCAGCATGGAGGTCCTGCCATGCTCACGAGTGGCCCATATCGAACGCACAAAGAAGCCATACAACAACGACATTGACTACTATGCCAAGCGTAATGCCCTCCGAGCTGCTGAGGTCTGGATGGATGACTTCAAATCACACGTCTATATGGCATGGAACATACCGATTAATGTAAGTATGGGCAAGGCAGGTAAAAATACATGATCTAGAAATGGTTGTGGCCACCGGTGATAGTCTATTTGAGAAGGAGGTAGAGGTATTGGTTAGGGAGCCTGTAGGAGCTAGCAGTATGTTGTCATAGAGTCATACAGCACGGAAACAGACCCTTCGGTACAACCAGTCCATACGGAACATAATCCTGAACTAAACTAGTCCCACCTGCCTGCTCCTGGCCCATATCCCTCCAAACCTTTCCTATTCATGTACTTATCCAAATGTTGTAATTGTACCCGCATCCACTACTTCCTCGTATTGTCAGTCATTATCAGATACCTCTAAAGGTCGAGAGGTTAAATCTGTGCCTTGACCTGAATAATGCTATTTGGTTCTCTTGGCCAGTGCTCCACACCTTTGGTCAGTAACATCTCACATTCCAAAGAGGCTCCAATGTTAAATAAAACTAGTCATTTAACCTACTCAATGGGGTAAGAGTTCAGCAGAGCACAAATGGTAATTAGAAAGGGCCCAATTTGTACTTCAGTTGAAATCTGTTATTCCAGTTTAGTAGCAACTGGAAGATCCACATCATTTCAATATTGTAGATTAGAAACAAGCGCTCCTTAATGTGACAGAGTCTTGGGACCGTTGCAATGTCCCATGCCATAGGACTGGAAACACAAGGGGAAGTGGTGCCTTCCTGGGAGACTGGGAATAGACTTTTAACCTGTTTGAGTGTAGCGGCTGAATTTGTTGTTTGTTGGGGTGCAAATCCTGTGGGGCATTCAGGGGTTAGAACCTCAGGCTGTGCTATGTAGGAATTACATGCACCTACGGTGATGCAGCAATTGTGATCTGTATCACAAACAGGCCAACTCTGTGTTGGATCGAGTTCTGAGTCACTGAGAGGCCCATCATGTGACTTCCAGCTCCCAAACCTGGAAGAACTGGAAACTTCCATGGGAGTCTGTCACCTCTCCAAGCGACTGCCTCAAAGACTCCCTCGAGAATGGAGGGGGTAGTTTGGAGGAGAGAGGAGGGAGACGGGGAGTTTGGAGAAGGGAGAGCTCAGGAAGGGGGAGCTTGGAGAAGTGGGATGGTTGGAGAGGTGGAATTTTAGTGATGGGGGAGCTTGGGGATAGAATCAGAGTGGTCTATAGCACAGAAAAAGGCCCTTCGGCCCATCAAGTTTGCGCCTGTTCAAAGCAATCACCTCACTATTCTAATCCCACTTCCCAGCCCTTAGTCCCTGCCTTGGCATCACAAGTGCACATCTAAATCCTTTTTCTTTAGAGCAGGAGGAGTTTGAGGGGGATGTTTGAGGGCGCAATGTGAGAGGGAGGAGTTTGGGGAAGGCGAGTTGGGGAGCGAAGCATTATGAATTTTTTTTAAAAGTTGTTAAAATGTTGAATGTTGAGAAAAGGACAACGTTTGACTGAGAATCATTCAAATGAATGAGAAGAAATCTGTTTTCCAACCACGATAAGGAACGATGACCTTGAAGATTTTGAATGACCAATGGGGGGGAAGAGCAGGGAATGATACAAATGCAGGGAAGAGGTCACATGATGAATGATCTTGGAAATAGGTCCAACCAGAACTGGCAACCATCATGGCCCCTGGAGCTCTGCTTTGTGAAAGTTGGTCTGGTATTGACCTTCAATAGTGGGATAGGCTTTGCCTGTTCCATTCCCAAGGGAAAACTTTAATCATGAAATTCCTCCCCACGCACCCTCCTTTGCTTCAAGCTTTGTTTTAAATACAACGAAGAATAATGGAGCACTAATCAGTTACTGGGCCTCTTTAGCTATGAAATCAGGAGAGGTGAGGACCAATGAGATACAACTCATTTCCATCTCTTTGTATGGAGCATGACCCAGTGGCCGGTTTGAGGACCGGTTTGTCCTCAGCTGGATAGAAATTATATCCCAAGCATCAATACAATGTGTCCTCAGTTACTCAGGAAAGAAATGTTGGTTTTTCCATAACCACCCAAACTTCAACAAGATAAAAAGAGGGATATCTCAGAGCACCTTAAGTCACTTCATTACTTTCATGAGTGATCACTGGGTAGCGAGAGCATTTGGAGGCAGGAGGTGGTGTAATGAAATGTTTTAATGAGGAAATGATGCAGTCAGTTAACACACAGCAAGCTCCCACAACAAGCAGTGTGACCAAGGCCAACTTTTATACTGGGAATATATAGTCACCAGGATTTTTTTAATATTGAAGATTAAAGAATGGTCTAATAGAGGCCTTTGAGAAAGATAGATGTGATAGAGAGAAATTGATACTGCAGTGGGGAAGAGTCTGGGGAAGTGTTGCTGTAATGATACTGGATTAGTAACCCAAAACCTCAGCTCATTGTTCTGCATTCAATTCCAACTGTAGCAGATGGTGAAGTCTGAATTCAATTGAACAAACCTGGAACCAGTACTAGCCTAATGGTGACCAGTGTCAGTTGTAAAAGTCTGTCTGATTCACTAATGCCCCTTAGGGGAGGAAATATAGCCTAGATGTGACTCCAGACCCACAGCAACGTGGTTTACTCTTAACTGCCCTCTGTAATTAGGGATGGGCAATAAATGCTGGCCTGGCCAATGACACCCTCATCCCATAAGTGAATAAGTGGATTTAACTTTAAAATGAGAGCCAGGCCAGTTAGAAGCAGATTCTGCATACACACAGAATTTTGGAAATCTTAAGTTTTTGTCTCTCAAAATGTTGAGACCGAGAGTCAATGGAAAATTTCAAAACTAACATTGATTGATTCGTGTTAAGCCAGGTTTAATGAACTAAGGTGGATAAATGGAATGGAATCAAGATACAGAGCAGGAGGAAACTCAACTGAATGTTGTTCAAGGACCTGAATGGTGCTGACGTTCCCACTGGGAAATGAGAAGAGTTGAAATTGACCCTTAACTGTCTTAGTTCCACAGTTTTTACTGCAGGCCCCTGACCATCCAGTGCTTTAACTATTGTTTTGTAAGTGATCTGTAAAGGACATGCTCAATTGAAAAATGATCTCCCAGAGAATAAAAAGATTTATTGTACAATGAAGTGCAGGATTGCAACAGATTGGCTAATGGGTCAATTACACACATTGGCCAAAAGTGTTTACCCCATGAAGCAAACAAGATTTCACACGAGTGTCACTATATCCCATTTATAACACAGTTTATTCAGAGACAGTGGCAGCAATTACATTAAGTGAGAGAAGGAGAACACATTTTCTCCGTTTTGAATCTATTAGAAATTTGAAAAGGCAAATGGATTTGAATATGAGGGGGATACATTTACAGGGTTATGTTAATAAAAGTGAGATATGGAACCCAATTGGACCGGAAATAGTACAAGCTCGACAGGTGTACTTCTATGATAAAGAGATAACAAGATGTAGAACTGGATGAACACAGCAGGCCAAGCAGCATCAGAGGAGCAGGAAAGCTGACATTTCGGGCCTAGACCCTTCTTCAGAAATGGGGGAGAGGAAGGAGATTCTGAAATAAATAGGGAGAAGGGGAGAGGTGGATAGAAGATGGATAGAGGAGAAGATAGGTGGAGAGGAGACAGACAGGTCAAAGAGGCGGGATGGACCCAGTAAAGGTGAGTGTAGGTGGGGAGTTAGGGAGGAGATAGGTCAGTCCAGGGAGGACGGACAGGTCAAGGGGG